ACCCAAAGACTTGAAGCATGCACAGGGCTGACCTGGGCATGGGGGTGGGAGGAGTTACCAAGGGAATCCTCCAGGTGGAGAATGTGGAACGTGCTCAGCACAGCGTGCAAGGTAGCCCTAGCCTCTGCTCCGGACATGGGGGGAGGGGGCGGGGCCAGGCCAGAGCAGAGCAGCAGCTGGACCTCGGGGCCTCGTTGGCCCTCCGAGGACTTGAGGTTAAGTTCACCACCGAGCTGTGCCGTAAGCAGTGATGCAGAAAGCGGGGAGCTCTCTTTTTTTACAAGCAAGGAGCTTCTGTAAAGCACAGGTGATGTGGCTGTAGAAGGCAGAAAGGGTTACTTACTATCAGGTGACCTCTAAGGTCACGGAAGTAGGTCCTTGACTTTGTTGGAAAGATCAGCAGTGAGAGACAGTAGTTTAAAAACAAACGCTAACCTTGGACTCCAACATGGAAACATGATTTTAAGATGATCAGAACTATCAGATCCATTGTACCCCTGCACTATCACTTCAGGTATGTTCACTTCTAGGCTGCAAAATACATATGTATATATATTTCTAAAAGGAAGACAGCTTTATTGAAAACTACAGTTTTCCATCCAGAAAGGACTAACGAAGAAAACCAGATACCTTCATTCTAGAACAGGTCTAGAGCAGTTATTCTGAACTTGGGGTCCATGAGTGGACTTTAAGGGACCTATAAACTGCAGAAAATTACATGCAAAATTTTGTGCAGACATATATTTTAGTTTTTAGTGCATTCTGAAAGGGCTCTGTGACCCAAGAAGGATTTAAAAACACCGATAAATCGGAAAACCAATAGTCTTTTACATGTTTGCAGAAAGCCTTTAGGTTTCAGAGGAAATATTTGTGTGTGATTTCACAAGGCTGAAGGAAGTAATTGGGTGGAGGGAGATACTGGTCAGTGGGTTGGAAGCAGCCTGGTGGTCCAGCAGCGCATGGGGCTGTGTTATAAGGTGTGCTACAGGGTTGTTTATTTAAGCAGACCATCTCTTGGAGACGCTGTTAAGTCCCTAGATTGACGGGGACATTGAGTAAGAGGACCTCTGAGATCCCGTGTTCTTTAATTCTCTGATTAAGGACATTTAGGAGCAGAGGCTAAGCTACGTGAAGAAAATCAGAAGAGAACAAGGTTTATAGGGCTTCAGAGACGAATGTTAGGATCCTGAGAAAGGCATGGTTGTTTCTGATGCAGCAGAGATGTTGGAATAGTTAAGACTGAAGCTTGGTACTAAGGAAGCCTTTGGAAAGCCTGAGAAGGAGCCGTTGGATGCACTGGGGAAATTGGATCAGAAACCATTGAGAGTCTGACTGTAACTGAGGAGCAAGACAGGGAGATGGAATTCTCTAATTGCTTAAAAGTTCATTTTCTACCTGAAAATATTGAAACCATGAATCACACCTTGATCTGAACCTGTGATTTCTAGGAGTTTGTGTTTCTAAAAACCTGGTTCTTGGACCAGCCGGCCAGCTGATCAGCTGAGTGCTTCAAGGCGGAGAACCAAGCAGCTCTCCGTTTTCGAAAGGCCTCTGTAATGTAAATAGGAACAGCAATCTTTCCAAGTTATTACCCTGTTAACAGGTTGACAGATATGTGCAAATTGTGACTCACTGCTCAATTTGGCACTAAACTAATGTCGTTCTGCACCGCGTCTGCTCAAGTGTAAACTAGTCACCACTGCTGTGTTAGTGCTTGTTTGCCTATATTCCAAAGGTAAAAATTAAAGTAATTTGATCCTGCCGCAGAGCGGAGTGCAGCATATGGTGGCGTGTGGGAGGGGAGCGCGCTGTTCCTACCTGTCCTGGGCCCGCGCTCTGAGCTCTGCACACGCTGGCAGGGCTGGCGGGGCACACAGAGGAGGGCAGGAGCCCCTCCCATGCCAGCCCCCACCCTCTGCAGAGAGAAAATGTCACCTCGGCTCCAGCTTTTTAATTTGCTGTTCCAAGCTTTCCTTATTTCTGTCAAGTCACTAGTGGTGCATTTGCGTTTTGAAGGTTGGGTCTATTTGAAAATGACATGTTTTGATTATTTGCTTCTAGGATTTCGACATTGTTTTCCTCAGCGAAAGATGCAGCTGACTTTCTCTTTTTTGGCAAATACATAATGTCACCTGTAAAAAGGAAATTTGCATCTCCTTTATGTTAGGTGTGGGAATGAAGAATAGTCTCCTTGAAATGCATTTTTGCTTAATAAAATCTTTGGATTGAGCTTGCTGAGCTTTATCTGAGATCACTGGCTGGGGAGGGAACAAAAAATACCGCTCCAGACCTCTCTACTTTCCCATGTCCGCATCAGATGTTTCTTCTGGGATTCTTTTCTCCTGCCACTGCCTCCCTTTACAAGTAAAGAGCTCGTATACAGAGGATTCCAGAAATGTCAAGGAACACTTGTTGTCTGCCCTTTTAGAACGCTGGACCCTGCTAAAAGCAAGCGAATCAAGTAGTTGGCATAGAGTCCTGGAAATCTACACACGGACCTTGGTTTCTGGAATCATGACCTAACCTACCTATCCCCCTAAATTCCTAGCCTATTAGAGAGACAAGTTTTCTAGAAAGTATTTTGGAACCTTCAAGGTGAAAGGTACAAGGGAGAGCAAATTATGATGTTAACTTTGTGCTGAAGTTCTGCATATTCATTTGCATTCTACTGTCCAGAGCTATAATGGCTATTGATTGAGGATCTGTTCAGAAGACATTGACTGTCCCCCTCCCCATTAGCATATACTTAGCAATGACCTCCATCCACACAGGAGAGTGGATTTCTGCTTCCTGCTG